ATGGGACAGAATATTAATCATAAATCAAACTTTCACTTTTTAATACTTGGTTGCAAATCCTTTGCAGTCAATTACAGCCTGAAGTCTGGAACGCATAGACATCACCAGACGCTGGGTTTCATCCCTGGTGATGCTCTGCCAGGCCTCTCCTGCAACTGTCTTCAGTTCCTGCTTGTTCTTGGGGCATTTTCCCTTCAGTTTTGTCTTCAACAAGTGAAATGCATGCTCAAAGGGATTTAGGTCAGGTGATTGACTTAGCCATTGCATAACATTCCACTTCTTTCCCTTAAAAAACTCTTTGGTTGCTTTTGCAGTATGCTTTGGGTCATTGTCCATCTGTACTGTGAAGCGGTGTCCAATGAGTTCTGAAGCATTTGGCTGAATATGAGCAGATAATATTGCCTGAAACACTTCAGAATTCATCCTGCTGCTTTTGTCAGCAGTCACATCATCAATAAATTCAAGAGAACCAGTTCCATTGGCAGCCATACATGCCCACGCCATGACACTACCACCACCATGCTTCACTGATGAGGTGGTATGCTTAGGATCATGAGCAGTTCCTTTCCTTCTCCATACTCTTCTCTTCCCATCACTCTGGCACAAGTTGATATTGGTCTCATCTGTCCATAGGATGTTGTTCCAGAACTGTGAAGGCTTTTTTAGATGTCGTTTGGCAAACTCTAATCTGGCCTTCCTGTTTTTGAGGCTCACCAATGGTTTACATCTTGTGGTGAACCCTCTGTATTCTCTCTGGTGAAGTCTTCTCTTGATTGTTGACTTTGACACACATACACCTACCTCCTGGAGAGTGTTCTTGATCTGGCCAACTGTTGTGAAGGGTGTTTTTCTTCACCAGGGAAAGAATTCTTCAGTCATCCACCACAGTTGTTTTCCGTGGTCTTTCGGGTCTTTTGGTGTTGCTGAGCTCACCGGTGCGTTCCTTCTTTTTAAGAATGTTCCAAACAGTTGTTTTGGCCATGCCTAATGTTTTTGCTATCTCTCTGATGGGCTTGTTTTGTTTTTTCAGCCTAATGATAGCTTGCTTCACTGATAGTGACAGCTCTTTGGATCTCATCTTGAGAGTTGACAGCAACAGATTCCAAATGCAAATAGCACACTTGAAATTAACTCTGGACCTTTTATCTGCCCATTGTAATTGGGATAATGAGGGAATAACACACACCTGGCCATGGAACAGCTGAGAAGCCAATTGTCCCATTACTTTTGGTCCCTTAATAAGTGGGAGGCACATATGCAAACTGTTGTAATTCCTACACCATTCACCTGATTTGGATGTAAATACCCTCAAATTAAAGCTGACAGTCTGCAGTTAAAGCACATCTTGTTTGTTTCATTTCAAATCCATTGTGGTGGTGTATAGAGCCAAAAATGTTAGAATTGTGTCGATGTCCCAATATTTATGGACCTGACTGTAACAGAGATAACAGCCTTCCAGGTATTTCCATCTGCAGAGGCCTCTCTGCTCATATGCGTACTGCCACTTTTCCACACCAGCCTCTATAGAAGAGGTGCACTGCCAGACATAGCAATACAAAGGTTTCTGGAAAATGGCTATTTGGCCCAGGAGCAGCATTAACAAATCCCTTTCATTTATGTCTGTGGCAGCATTAATAAACCTTCCCCCTTGCATTGGTGTAAGTGACAGCAATAACAAACACTCTTCATTAGGTTCAGCAATAATAACCCCCCTTCATTGGTGTCAGTGGGTATAATAGCCGCCCTATCTCCCCTTAATTGATGTGGGTGGGTAATCCAATAGCACACCCTCCCCCCTTTCACTGATGCCAGTGGGTGCAGTGGTTACTTACCTGAATACACTCTCCAGCGCGCTTCCTTTCACCTCAGCATCAGGCCAAAATTATACGTTCAGGCAAGAGATCACTTGGCCAGACAGGTGATGCTGAAAGCATGCCAGTACCTCACTGATTTACAGTGGTGCCACAACACACAACCCTGCTAACAGAAGAGGAGACCTTTGTATTTACTTATCTACCCTTCAACCCCACTCCATGACTGATCAATGAAAGGAGCAACAGCAGACCAAAGAGCTTTCTCTCTCTCTCACTTGGTTCGCATGTTACTTGTGCTGCCTTTCCCAGTCTGGGCTCAGCTGTACAGGGGGACTGCAAGAGGTTCATTCCAAGTCAAATTCAAGTACTTAAATGTGTGTTTTTTCTAATGCAAGCAATGTAAGTATCGAGTAATGAACCTAGGGCTGCATTATTTTGTGTTTTTTTTTATATGTGCAGTTCAACTGATCCAATACCTTTAGTACTTTCTCAGTCAATGACCTAGTAGTATGGATAGTAGGTATAGAGTAGTAGTATAGTAGGTATGCAGATCAGGACAGCTCATTTTACTTTCCTAGCTTACATTTTCAGAATGGATCAGTTTTACAGCTAGTAACAGGAAAACTAGCCTTTTCAGTGCCATTTTTCCTGAAGATGAACCACAAGTGGCCTGTAATTCTATCAATTTATCAAAATCATTCATGTTTGTGCTTTTTTTTTGCAGTGCTTTTTGAATCAAGTAGCATTATGACAGATGCAATCATTTGTGTGATAATAGATCACATAACCAAGAATTACTACACCTTTTCACAACCAGAAACCAAAACAATGAAAAATCCTGTTTTTACTTAGTTTTATTTTGCACATTTTACTTTTTTTCATTTCACAGAAAGTTTAGCTGCATATTTTCTCAGTTTGCATCCACGCAAATTTATACGCCGCCAACCAGTGATTTTATCTGACGGCTTTTAGTTTCTTTTTTTCACTTTTTTTTTTGTAATTGCAGTTTTTTTTTTCGTATTTTTTATTTTTTTTTTATTTTAAAATGAGTCCATCAAGGAAAGCTCTAAACCCGTCGACACCACCTCCCAATTCCCGATCCTTCCCATAACAAAATGCATATTTGATGCTTGGGCATTGCCATTAGAACCCCTTCACCCCCGAGGTCTCAGACAATGTGGCACTGCAGGGGGATTGGGATGTCGGGACACATCTGGCACCACCTGTTCACCGAGTGCCTTATTGCTGTGTGTTAGACCTATAGAGCAACCTTTTAACACAGCTCTTTATAGAACATTTGCCCCCGCTCAGAAGTGAAGGGGTTGCGTTTTGACGCTCTTTTCTTCCCAGTTTTGTTACTTTATCTTCAGCCGCTACACACACAGGGACGCTGTCCGCAAACTCGCCTGCCAGCCGTTTCTCTCACTCTGCGTCCCCCTTTTGGCATCACACACTTGGGGGGTTATAGAAGCCAATCCACAATGGTTCTCGGTTCTGGAGGTGCTGTCTGAGTGGGCTGGTAACCTGTCTTCACTGTAGAGTAAAAGAGATATGTGTATAACAAACAGTTCATAAGTAATAAAACCTCCCCTACCTACCACTATGTCATAGTCTACAGTTGCTCATAACTTTGACAGTGTAGAGAATAAAATAAAACAGAAGATGAAGGCAAAACCTTAGATAGTACCATGTCCACAGGTGCACTCTAGTATTGGTTCTTGCCTAGTGCTCCATAGGGGGCACCTTCTATTGTCATTTATTAAAAGGTTCAAAAATTAAAACCTTTTAGGGCCTTTTCATGCAATTAGCCATGCTAGCTGCATGGATGCTGTTGTGTGCTGGGAGGAAAAAAAGTGCTAATGTGTCGTTCTCAGAGCATCACAATTTTTTTTTTGTGTCACAAGTGAAATTTAATTATGTTGCATTCCCCAAAGGGACATTGGAATGCAGGGATTTTTTGCAAATGCACTGGAAAAAAAAAAAAAAAAAAAAAAGTACTGTATGCCTGAGATGGGAAGGCTTGGAAAAAAAATGGGAAAAAAAAAACAGTTCTGCAAAAATTGGGGAAAAAAAAAAAAAAAAAAAAAAAGAAGTGTGGAATATGTTCTTTTACAATGATAAATATCTATGACATGGTATTCAAACTACTGCATATAAGATAAAGACCTAAATGAAAGATTGAGACTTTATGTAAAGTCCTAAATTATTGCACATTCTCTCAGCTGAAGACAAGCAAACCTCAGAACACAGTTCACGCAACACTGTACTTCTGAATGCAGGTCACAAACAAGAGAAATCTGCTTTTCTGGCACCAAGGGGCACTGCAGAAGAAAGGCTCCAGTTTAGTTTGCCTGTAGGCTCCAGCTTGTACCTCCTACAGTTGGGTGATTGTTAGAATACAGTAGATGATAGTTTGTCCTCATCTCAGGCTTTAATTGACAGGTAAGAGGGTAAATTTGTCAAAATTAGTTGATCTTTATAACCTTTAAATGATTCCTATTAATGTTCTCCGCCATCACAGCATAATGTGTGCAAATGCAAATATTCTGAGAAGGCGCAAAAAAGACACTTTACGGCCCAGGTTGCACCAGAGGCTCCTGGGGAAAGGTGAAGGCAAGCTGGGAAAGGTCATTGTGGTAAGCTGGGAAAGGTAATGATCACAAAACTCATGAGAAGCTGCTCACACATAGCACTGGAGCATCTTCTTTTAATGTGTAAGATCTTATTTCCCAGGACCTCACCATGAAGACCCATGACTTCCCCCACAACTAGGTGCAAGAGCTTGTATTTTAGATGCATGTCCAATTACGGCAAGACAGATGTTAGCTAATGTAAGTTCAAGTAGTGAGTGGTTATGCTAATTTACTGAAGGTGTGGCACTGCTGTGTCAAATCTTAAAGCAGTAGTAAAGCTTCAAAAACAAAACAAAGTAAAAAAAACAAATAACCATTTTCCTCCTGCAAAGCAACATCATGATGTGCTAGTATACATCACATATTAGCACAATATGAAAGACTTACCTTAAAATGAGGGTTTATAATGGAGTTTTATAAATGTGCTCTCCTTTAAGCTCTATTTTTCTTTATCTGTTATCTTTCCCTTTGCAACACCCACCCCTCTCAGGCAGAAATCTAGTATAGAACACTACTTACCAAAGAGGACAGGCAAGGTGGTTTAGGAGCGCAGCTATCGGAATAACCTGGTGAAATCTCTGAGAGCCCAACACACTTGCTTACATTCCTCAGCACTGTAAAACACACACATAGGAATATTACCATTGTTTCACTCATTTATTGTACATGTTTACATATGAACAATTTTAAATAAATCAGCTAAACTAACATGACTGTACTCTGAAATATTTATGGGGGCCATGAGATACAAAAGTTCAGGCAATTCCTGCTGAATTTTTTGATGTTCATGACATGGGTGGCCCACAAGCACCCCTCAGCTCAACAAAAATCATATAAAAAATTTGCATAATTTAGGTGGAAAATTACAGGCTAAACAACGATTGAAACTTATCAAATGCAGTCACTGTTTGGCAGCATCAGTGTATTCAGGTAGCCACAGATACCATGGCTGCCTGAATAAAATAGCTGGCACTGCAGAATCCTTCATCCACACTGTTAGTGATGGAGGAACGGACTAATTTTTTTCCTCGTTCAGCCCACTGGCTGAATAGGAGAAAATGAATTCATGAATGGTGGACTTTACAAAGATCAGAATGATGATAGACTGACAACACATGCACAATAAAATGAGCTGGCCTACCTTGTTACTTGTTTGTGGAAATCTGTTAACTGCTTATGTGTTACTGTAATTGCGCCTCCCGATGTCTCCTTTGGTAAACCCTTCAGTGATGTTTCCAACCATCTACAAAATGTCTGAAAAGGGATAACAAATTACAAATTTATCTTTAATGCTGGAACTTTATTACTTCCCTAAAACAAGTAAAATCAGAATACAAACATCTGCAATGGCAAAAACTACTAAAAAATGTTATAACATTAATGGTCCTTAAACTGAACTCTCATGAAAATGACAATGACTGGTCCATGCTGCAGTCAACACGTCAGCCAAAACTGTCCACTGCTTCTTCCACCACCTGCAACACTACTCTTCAGTCACTGAACAGCCACTGATTATGTAACTGCTATGTGCTCAGAATTTACATGGTCCATGCACATGCCCAGCTCATTTCTTGTATGCTGTGTTGTGTACATGACAGAGCCTCTACAAGCATGGTTAGCAGAGGATTCCTGATTTTCATACTTAAAGTTGAATTGTAGCAAAAAAAAAAAAAAAAAAAAAAATCTTAGGAAAATTAAAGGTATGTGATATTAATGTGCAACGGAATGTATATTAGAACTATCATGCTTATTGCAGTCCAAAATGAAAACCATGTTGTCCCCCCCCCCCCCCCCCCCCCCCCCCCTTTTTGATAGTGTTGCCATTTTTATTGTTCCTTCCTGTTCCTCTTCGTGGTAGCTTCACAGTCTATATCATCTCTAAATCACGTACAACTGCACTGTAATATTTAGCTGCAGCTTTGACAGCCAAGATACAGAAATCTCTTCCACTTCTGTGTGTGTGCTCTGTGCTTGGTCCTGCTTTACCTACTGACTGAACAGTGTTCAGTGAGCAAAGAGGAAGGGTTATAAACTGATCTGTGCAATTAGCTCACTCCCCCTTCTTTTGTTTCCCTATCTTCAGTTCCTCCTAACCCTAGGTTCACGCCTAAGCGTTTTCTGCAGCGTTTTGCAGAAACGCAGTACAGTCCATTTAACATGATTTCCTATAGGACAGGTTCACATCTCCGCATTTTCACGGAAGAGTCAGGGACTTTTTTTAACGCAAAAAGTTGCGTTATTGGTTCGATAGACTTCATGGAAACGCTGCAGAAAAGCATGTATTGTGTTTTTGCTGTGTTTTTCGTTTTAAATCTGCCTCGTAACAAGAAACATTTAAAAAAAAAAAACTGCAAAATGCATCAAAAAACAAAAACTGCAATGCAAAATGCAATGCAGAAACAGCTCGAATGCAACCTGCACAGGCGTGAAACTAGCCTTAGAATGACTTGATGCCAGCAGTGGATGTAAGCCGACACATCTGATATAGCCCTTTGCAGACTACTATCAGAGTGGCATCCGGAGCTACTCACTGGTGGTGTCACTCTGTAAACCTCTCTCTCTCCAACATACTCACAGCCTCCCCTCCTGTCACAATTCCCACCACTACAGGTTGTGGGCTCAGTGTCTGAGTTGTCCTGCATTGTGTGCAGGTAACATTCACGTTCATCCTTCGTTAGACAGGAATGTACCAAGTAGGGGACCTTTGAGTCAAATAAGAGATGCAGAGGTCAGAATGCAGGATCTGACAGATTGTTGCATACAGCCCAGACCGGTTTTGGAAAGCCAAGAGGAGACAAACTATAGACAGACTCAGCAGAGAGAATCACACAGAGGCTGATGTGATTTCACTTCACTCAGTAACGGAACCTTGAATGAGATGACCGGGATTGAGTTACTAGATGGACAAGAACACAAGTTAACGAGAGGAGGAAGACCCTGTTAACCCGATAACAGCTACTGTTGTTTCCTGGGAGATCCGTCTCCTGGCAGAGTGAGCTTTTGGCAGATCTCTCGGATGCCGAAAATGCTGCTCAGGCTGCACATGCGCAGTAACAATTTCAATACACATAATTCTAATATAATAATCAGAATTTGGATTTCACAGCTTGGGGAGGGACTTGGGGAACCTGAAGAACACTGATCATCATGTGCTGAGAAGAGCTTTACTTTGTAAAAATGTTCGAACGTGTGTAAAGTTCTACTTAAATGTAACTAAACACTGTTGTGTTTAAACGTGGCACACAGCTGTCAAAGGTTGAGGACATACATTAGACTGCACACCACTATGACAACATTTAAAAATATTATACATTGAATCTACAATCTCCTTACCGGCCTGTCAAATACCATAATTTCCCATATAACTTCAGCCACATCAGGCAATGTATAGGGTGGGAGACAGAAACAACAAGAATGGAGAAGCTGGCTGACCAGCTGTTGTCCAAACTGATTCATTACTTGCTGAATCAGATCCTTCCGTACTTCAAAGTTCTCCTCATGCTGTGTTAATAAAAAAAAATTACATTAAACTAATCGTTCAAAACATATTAACACAGAATAATATGCAGTAGTAGCTTGTGTACGTGAAGAAGAAGTAGTCTTACATCATTGGCTATCCCAGTGTGTACAAGATCGCGCAGAAACTTCATGACACTACAGTTGGCATCTCGGTGGTCTAATGTAGTGGCAGCAATAGCCCACTGCAAGACATGCATTAGCACCTGACTTCTTAGAAGGACAATTGGACATCGCTGTATGAACCTGAGAAAGATGATGGAAAATCGGTCACTGTGCACATACACAAATAAGTACAAACGTTACCTGGCTACTAACATTACTAAGAAGTTACAAACTGCAGGTTGTTGATCCAGAGTATTGAGTTGTCAGGGTATCATGAAGGAATTTATTCACTATTGGAGCAAATTGCACCATGCATTATATCTTATTTTGCCTTCCTCTGCATCAGGTTTTAGGGCCAGTTCACACTATAGAAACACAGTCAGGATGCGTTCCTACATGCGCGTTCCGGTGCATTTGTGATGCATTTTTATGCGTTTCGGTGCGTTTTTTATGTGTTCCCGTTCATTTTTTCCCCTCTTTTTCTACAATTTAAATAGGGACATGTGCGCTCCAGTGCGTTTTACCATGTCCCAGCACAGTTCTATGCAGGGAAAATGCAACATGTTCTACTTTTTTTTTCTGCTTCCGGAACGCACTGGAGCATTGATGTGAACTAAGACATTGACAACCATATAACCTACTTTCTGTGTGTTTTGGATGCAGAAAAAAAGCAACTGAAACGCATGTAGTGTGAACTGGCCCTTAGGGTTTGAAATATGCAGGCATTGTGTTTTAGCATGTGTTTTCTTTCAGCATGACTATCAACACTGTGCAGAGGGGAATACCTAGGCTGCCACTGTAGGCCTCTCCTGAAAATGCTAGTTGCCTCAATGTGTTACTGATTAAATGGTATCATAGTCAGTAATTGGTAACAAAAGATGCAGCTGAAAGTTGACTTCTTTGGCTGAGGTTTTGGGTCAGCTACAAAGTGTTCAAGGTGAAGGCAGTCAGGCAACTGTGATTTTCAAAGGAGGCCAGCCACAGCAGTCAATGTATTTTTCTCAGTACAGCCTTTCTTTATTGTCATATTCAATGCTCATCATATTGGCATTAAAGATATAAGGTTTTTACCACTCATAATTTAGAACATGCAGAGATAATGGGTTTAATTATAGTAAATGTAAAAGAGATTGTTGTTTTACCTATAAAATCCTTTTTTGGAGTACAAAGCAGGACACAGGGTATATTCACAACTCAATGGACCCTGCTACCTTCAGGGTAAAGGACACTGACAGAAAAAAAAGGCACGTTTCTCAACCCAGGAATAATCCCTCCCACCACACCTTATAGCAGAACTACACTGCATCTGAGCACCACAAACCAAAATCACTTTTTATTTTTCGAAATAAATTTTACCATCCAGTCTCCATGGTTATTCTGATGAGAAATCACTTTGAAAAACATTCTCCCCTAACAGTAATAATTGCGGCCACGTTCTGTAAGGGCAGATAATTCATGTAGCATTTACTTCCTGGAATCCTTATACCCTTAGTTCAGGCATGCAAGTAGGGGCTGGGCTGAGCTGAGAAAACCCCTCCTTCCCTCTGAATACTCCTGGGATGTATGACAGAATTTGACTAGGCCCGGAAACCAGGAAGTAACTGAAAAAAAAATCTTTAAAAAAAAAAAAAAAAAATGTAAAGTGGTAGTAAAGCCACTTTGTTAATTTTTACCTACAGGTGAGCTTGTAATAAAATATCTGCTATATGTGCACCACTTAGGAGATATTCATTTATTTTTAGAGCCGGCGCATGTGCTCTAAACGGCATACCTGTGCCGTTCCTTCAGAGCACTGTGACGTGTCCCGAGAGTCCCGTGCGCACGTGCGAAAGTAAAGTCACCGTGGCTCGGCCATTCATGCCGCCAGAGCCCGCAAGAAGGAACAAGTGAAGATGGAAGCGCTGTCAGCACGCCACTGTAGGGGTTCGTTTTAAGGTAAATATTACATACTGTGCTAGTATGCGATGCAGTTTCTGCACACTATGCGCTGACCCCGCTGTGTCATTTTACGTGGCCTACCACTTTGTGGCTGAGTTGTTGTTCCCAGTTGCTCACACTTTGTTCACACTTATAATGCCACTAACAGTTGACTGTGGAATATTTAGTAGCAAGGAAATTCCACGCATCAACTTATTGCACAGGGGACAACCTATCATGGTACCACGCTTGAATTCACTGAGCTCCTGAGAGCGACCCATTCTTTCACAAATGTTTGTAGAAGCAGTCTGCATGCCTAGGTGCTTGATTTTATACACCTGTGGTCATGGAGGGGATTTGAACACCTCAATCCAATGATTTGGAAGTATATCCCAATATGTTAAGGTTTCACCACTATTCCCGTATGTTAGTTTTGGTTATCAGGTTCTATTAGGTGTGGGAACACATTTCAGTGAACAGCAGCAAGCCCTTTATATATTTGAGCAATAAATATATATATATTTTTTTCATTATCACAATAGTAGCACGGTGGTATTTGCACATATTTTCTCACAAGTCATGAATATGAAGATGCCTTGTATCCTGTGATGTACGATTAAGACATTTGCAGCAAGGTAACTAAAGTAGACAGCTATACCTAAATAGGCTTAGTGGAGAACTGATAACAGTGCAAATATAGAAAATCTATTTACCTGGTAAAGAGCCTGAAAAGGTCATCAACGGTGTCTGGGTGATTACGGAGTCCATTCTGCTGCTCCAGGAGTTGAAATGTTGGAACACAAAGAGCCTGCACAAGCAAAGCACAAAAATCAATGTACAAACTAAGCCTACATAGGTTACATAATACAAAATATAGGTATTAGTACGGGGAGTCTAAAACCGCTGAGGCATTATGGGTACTGAGCATATAAAGGTATGGAGTGTGTCACATCGCCTCAACATAAAATGAGGTAGAGACCCATTTCACAAATAGAAAGAGCTGCACAAGTTGGGACAGTGGCCATAATGCGAGATTTTAACCAACCTAAATTTGACTGGTGTAACTTGCAAGAATGTTTTATGGGACAAGTATCTTGAATTATCAAATAGAACTATTGTTTGTATTATTACAATGTTGATGTTCTAAAATAAAAGTCTAGGCTGTAACCAAAAAATTACTTTAATTTGAATTGTGAAAAAATTAAATAAAAAAAGAAAACATGCTGGAAAGACTCAAACACTTCAATTAAGAAAACATTAGGAGAATATTTCACAATGTTGAGCGATGCTGTCCAACGCAGACTCAACACAGAATTCTATTTAAGCAAAAGATGGGAAATATTTTAGAGCAATTCAAATAGATTTTTGGAATCTAAGTAGTAAATTAACAGAAAGACATGACATAAGTATGTAGCCCTCCAAAAAAATGACAATTCAAAGTTGGTAACTAAGGAAAGATGACAAGATCACAAAGTCGTATTAAAGCCAGAACCAAAAATGTAATATATTGCAGCTAACCAATCATTAGATGTGGTGGCTGCATTCGTTTTTTTTATTTTTTTTTAGGCTTTTTCCCCTGTTTTCAGCTGGTGATCTGGCTAGTAACACATCCGTATTAGAATGTCCGCCAACCTGAACAAAGGAGTATGGGGGAGCACATTTGGATAGCAGCATTGTCAGAATAGGTTGGAGGGGAGTTTTAAATGTACTAGCAAATTTAAATACACCAACAAATTGAATCCAAATTCAGGATCACACTTTATAAACAGTCACAGCAAACAGTTTTTTTCCTTTGGGGATAAAGATTTTACATAAATATAACAGATCATTGTACGCACCCCCATCAGTATTGAATTATTTGTTTAATCCCTGTTAACCGATACATCTACAAGAGAGCTAGTTTTTTTTGAAAAAACAACAGATTTACTGGATAGATCGCTAGATGAAAATAGAAGAAAGCCTAAATAGCAAAACTAATGCAGCCATCACTTAAAAAATTGGCAAGCTGCAAAATAATAAAGGTTTGCTTTTGGGGTTGTTACTGCTTTAAGACTTTGTCTAGATTTATGGTTGAGGATTCATGAAGCGAATGATCTAAAGTTTGCCAAGGGTGAACCCCAAGGTTTGGATGTAGGACAAATAATAAACTTTTTCAAAAATGATATAGAGTTCAAAACAAGGGATAGAAAGGACCTCCCGGTCTTCTACCTGCAAATCCCATCTCTAATTAAGCCGAAACTAAATCCCAGCTGCAGTACAGACTGTCCCATCCCACATCACCTCCTCTAGAGAGGGAAAAGAGATGCACAAATACACCCACACACCTCTTACAGGACAATCTTTTTTGGCAAATTGGAATGATCACAACATATACTCCATAGGACTGAAGAATTAAACTAAGAGAGCAGCCACCGAGGGAAAAGAAAACTTCTTATTCAATGATGTGCCATCCCATGTGCTTTCATAAAATGAAAGCTGAAGTGAACCTAAAAGGGAAGTTCCACCAATCCTCCTCCCCTCCATCCTCTTACACCTTTGGATGTTATGTTTTTTTTCCCTGGGAGTAGTACCCATTTCTGGCAGGTACTAACTCCCCCTTCTGCTCGGCTTGTCTAGCTGCATTCGAGATGTCTGGAGTAAAGTAAAGCAAAGGGGACTTGAAGGAAATAGCCCCAAGAGTTCTGTAGAGGTGGACAGTCAGAAGGCTTTTGGACTTAAGAATTCAAACCTGAAAATACAGAGAATCTGAAGTTTTCCTGAGGAAGCAAAACTCTGGCTTCAGACAAGTCTAGGATCAGGCTGTCCCCACAAGTCGTCTAAGTATCCTTCAATGGTAATGCGGCGAAAACAAAAATGGGCCAATACTGGTGCCAGCACCTTAATGAACACACAACCTGAAGAACGGGCCCATAAGCAGGTAGTGTAGGGCCCCCATGGCAAAGTGTAGAAATAGCTGATACGCTGGAAATATTGGCATATGCAGCATTTGTTCTCCACAGAAGCAAGGAAGTCTAACTGGTTGAAGGAGATGACAGATTTTGTGGATTCCATACATAATTTTTGGACTCGAATGTAAACATTCAAAACCTTGAGATCCAAGATGGGGTAAATGTAATCTTTTGGTTTGGGAACAAAATGCCTGAAACTGTTCTGCCACAGGGACCTGAGTCAATGAGACATTGATCCAGAAATGAAGAACAGACTGCAAGGACTGGTTTGCAAGGACGGAGGAGCCTGCAGGAATGGAGGTTTAGGTGAGAAACTACTTTGCCCAGGCCCTCTAGACAAACGAGCCATTAACTTTTGCAGTGTAGACACAGTCCTGTTTAAAGCAACAGACTGATTCCCACGTTTCGGAGTGGTGAACACTGCATAAGAGCCAAAATTATCTCCTTTAATTTAGAAGTAACAGCAGTAAACAGACTCCTCAGTCAAGTACTTGAGTGACTCAGAAAGACTGTCTCTGCGGTCAATGGCTTAGAGGTCGTTAAGATCATATGTGAATCAGATAAATATCTCCTGGAGAGGTAGCAGGAGCATGCTTGTGACCTCGGTGATTACAGTCATCGAACAACTGTGTAATTTGGGTCAAAGTCTTGCAACCAAAAGAACAGAGGATCAAGTCACACCTGATGTAGCCAGAGAACTACAAGGGCAGGTGAGACAACAACACAGGACAATATGAATCTAGACTGCACACATCGGCAACATCAGTAAGCAGCCCCTCAGCGCAATGAACAAAGAAACTGAAGTTGTTCACAGTGCTCGGCTCGACTGGCATATTCACTAAGTGAGTCTTCAGACACAGGTCAAGCACTGAGGGAATGCTGAAAGGCTCTGGGTCTGTAATCAGAATTGAATCTGTAAAGCAAATCAAGTGGAACTCAGTGTCCGAAGGTCACTTTCAGGCTATTCCCACCATGTCCAGTCCAATGAGGTCTGTATGCAGCAATCCAAAAGCTAGGATGAGGAAAACAATGTCAGATAGCTGCAAATCAGAGGTGTGGCCTCAAGTAGCAGTGTAGAGAAGAGTGAATGAAAAAGGGGAAAAAAAAATTAAGAAAAAGTGCTAGAAAAATAAAAGGTTAGGCAGCAGAGCTGTAGGAAAGATGTCCATCCTCTTAGGACACTACCACAAAAAAAAAAAAAAAATAATACAGTTTTTTGCTAGCATCCAATCCTCCCGTAAGTGGTGCTATAACACAAAGTTTAAGTTTAGTCTGGTGTTCCTGAACGGACAGGAAATAATATATGTTGAACACACCAGCATCAGTAGACTGAAGGGGCTGGAAGAAACTCACCTGCAACATTTCAAGCAATCCTTGTTGGCAACCTTCCTCCATCCCATACTCGTCCACCAAGATGCTACCCAGATATAGGAAACATGAATGTTGGTGAATCTGGTAGACATTAACCATCTGAAAAAATATTAACAGAAAAACTGTTAAAAACAATGAAGGCATTTTCCCAAGTATAGACAAATTGAAAGTTGCATGAATTTGGAGTCCAGATAAATATTAATTATATTTGATTAATTTACCGTGAAAATACAAATTAAATGCAAAACAATTAAAATAGGAAATTGTAACTAAAGGCAAAACAAATTTACTTAACCGTAGGAACTCAGTGCACACTGGTGGTTGTTTCAAACTCCTGTAGCTGACTATAATTTCAATGCTTATCAAATCTTGCCTGCCCCCTCCAAAACATTTAGTGAGGAGGTGACTGTTTAATCTAGGCTACCAACTGATTTGGCCTAAACATTAATTTAAACCCACTTATATTTCTTTCCTGGTTCCTCTTTTCATCCCTCTTTAACATGCTAATCACATTTTTAAACAAAACCTTTCCATCTTTTACTGCATACCTTATTTTGTACCTAGTCAAGTCATTGCATTGATTTTCTATGCAATACAGGCAGATCATGCCACCTCCTTCAAGTGATTCTAAAGGCTTACATTAAAAAAAAAAACAAAAACGAAACAAACATGTCTATACTTACCTGGTGTGTGCAGTGGTTTTTGCACAGAGCAGCCCAGATCATCCTCCTCTCGGGTCCCCCAGAGATGTTTCTGGCCCCTCCCTCCTGTCGGGTTCCTCCACAGCAAGCAGCTTGCTATAGGGGCACTCGCTGCTCCATGTGTTCATTCACACACTGAGCCGTGGCTAGGTCCCATCTGCTCTCTCTTCTCATTGGCTCACTGGCTGTGATTGACAGCAGTAGGAGCAATGCCCCCCCCCCCCATCCAAAAATAAAAAAAAACTCTCTAGCATTACACACCAAAAACAGAATGTGCAGACTTCCCACTGCTGCTTTAACTATGGCAGATGAATTGAGGACAGCAAAAGAAGGGGAGGATCAGAGAAGACTGGATCAAACAGGCTTTGTACACAATGCAGATTAACCCCTTAAGCTCCATGGTGTGTGTAAAACAAGCATACTTTACTACATATACAGTCTGATTTTACTGTTGTGCGTTTAGTAACACTTTAAGCGCTCATTCACACAGGTTACTCTAGGCCAATACATTGTAAATGAGTGGTTTGTTTGTGCAGCTGGAGCCGCATGTTACTCTATGGGGAAGCAGTGGCTGTACATGTCCTAATTTGCCAGGTGTGCAGGTGAGTGGCCCTGAATACATACTTTGCCTGTGTTGTCTGTGTTCACGTGCATCCACACACCTCTCAAATTAGGACCTGTGGTTGTGTTCATAAAGTTGCTGCAATCCCAATAGCGCAACACAGGCTAGGTTGCCTGGGCAGAAAAAAAAAGATATTTGGTTTGCACTGTACAGGCCACAGCACCCATCTGAATGAGCCCCAAGACTTCCTTCACACAAACAGCTTTATTACCGCAATACAGTTTTAGCTTTTAGATTTAAGTTATGTTGTGTTTATGTCTGCTAAGAATGATTTTATTGTATTTCTAGTGAAAGGAAATGATGACCCAGGAAATAGGAAACTCACAGGAAACAAAGCAGCTAAACATGATAGGAGTTTAGAAAATGTGCATAAAAACGTAGGTAAATGCCTATCAGTTTTTACCTGCATTTTTATTCACACAAAAGTGAAGAATGCGAGTCTGCACTTTATTATGTATTAATATATTTAGAACAACCTAATAAGCCAAATCATTCCAGCTCCTACTTTTTTAAGAAGATAATGTAAAATTACCTGTGTGACAAGGGGCTGTAGGAGTGCAGCAGATCCTTTTCCAACACAGCGCACAGCAAAGCGCAGACATCGGCAGCATCTCTCCACAATTCTGTTGTCAGCACGATGCTTGTTCAAGGTCTCTGACATCACAGGCCATATCTGAGATGGAAACTATTATTATCACCAACAAATGGACAGTACAATCATTAGATGTTTACAAGACTACCAGTAACCACAGACATTACAAACATATATATCCTTGCACAAAAAGGGCAAGGCCATTTTTAATTACTTACTTCTTGGATGACTTTTTGGCATGGGTGGGTCTGTCCATTTTCTACTGAAGGAATGGTGTGCCTTAAAATAAAACAAAATATATAAAATGCATGCATTGCCTGCTGTACACCACTGTACAAATCAAAAACACAAGAGCACACAGCTGTAAACTGCATTCACCAAATGGTAATAACAAGCTTAATCAGTTGGCCATATTCCATTATCGAAGGGCCTTTAAAAACTCTGCATTGCCCAACAACCGCCAACCACATACAGAATATGTTTACTGCTTACATGACGCATACAGCATGCCCAGTTGAACCCAGGTATACAGGGATACTTTACAGTGTTTACATCATAGCAATAAATGGCCATACAAACAACATATGTCACTTTTAAGCACAGATTAAATTCTGATTTGCTGATTGAGTGCAATGCAGACAGTACTTGTCAAAAATGGTTATAACCAGCTATTATCAAAACAGCAGTACATTGTATTTCATAATGCTATTACACATGTATTGCAGCACTGCTGGTGGTTTGACACCTACCTGAAGATGACTGCCAGTCGGTCCAGAAATAGCGTGGGGTCAGAGGACAAGCCATTATTAGGGTCTTGGGAGAGGAGCTGAACAAAGAAGTAGGGAATATGTTTCTTGACATATTACAAATAAATGCATACAACCACTGGGAACTGCAGTTTACCTTGACATTAGCCAGAAGAAAACCTCATACAGATACGCTTTCACACAACAAGATAAACTAGGAAAAAGGCTTCATTATAGGCAAAGGCGGGGGGGAAAATTTAACTTGCTAAAAATGATTCTATATAAGAGGTGCTTAGCAGCTGCTGACACAATACAGATCGTTTGAATAGGTGCTTACAAAGACTGTTCAGACAGATACAACATAGGGAGACACAAAGTAAAAACGTTACTGTTGTATTTACTATTTCACTTATCTGCTGATCTAAAGGATGCATATTATGTCAATTAAAGCAACCTCACATGCAAAAAAAAAAAAAGTGTAAGTGTGTGTGTGAGTGTGTACACACACAGGTGAAACTCGAAAAATTTGAAAATCGTGCAAAAGTTCATTTATTTCAGTAATGCAACTTAAAAGGTGAAACTAATATATGAGATAAACTCATTACATGCAAAACAAGATAGTTCAAGCCGTGATTTGTCATAATTGTGATGATTATGGCTTACAGATCATGAAAACCCCAAATCCACAATCTCAGAAAATTAGAATATTACATGCAATCAATAAAACAAGGATTGTACATAGAACAATATCAGACCTCTGAAAAGTATAAGCATGCATATGTACTCAGTACTTGGTTTGGGCCCCTTTTGCAGCAATTACTGCCTCAATGTGACCAGGATGCTTCAATAGCGGCCTTCAGCTCTTCCGCATTGTTCGGTCTCATGTCTCATCTTTCTCTTGGCAATGCCCCATAGATTCTCTATGGGGTTCAGGTCAGGCGAGTTTGCTTGCCAATCAAGCACAGTAATCCCAAGGTCACTGAACCAGGTTTTTGTGCTTTTGGCAGTGTGGGCAGGTGCCAAGTCCTGCTGGAAAATGAAGTCAGCATCCCCATAAAGCTCGTCTGCGGAAGGAAGCATGAAGTGCTCCAAAATCTCCTGGTAGATGGCTGCGTTGACCCTGCACTTAATGAAGCACAGTGGACCAACACCAGCAGATGGCATGGCTCCCCAAATCAACACAGACTGTGGAAACTTCACACTGGACTTCAAGCATCTTGCAGTGTGTGCCTCTCCATTCTTCCTCCATACTCTGGGTCCTTGGTTTCCAAATGAGATGCAAAAGTTGCTCTCATCAGAAAAGAGGACTTTGGACCACTGAGCAACAGACCAGGTCTGTTTTTCTTTAGCCCAGGTAAGACGCTTCTGACATTGTTTGTTGTTCAGGAGCGGCTTGACAAGAGGAATACGACATTTGAAGCCCATGTCCAGGATCCGTGTGTGTGGTGGTTCTTGATGCCCTGACTCCAGCCTCAGTCTACTCCTTGTGAAAGTCCCCAACACTTTTGAATGGCCTTTTCCTGACAATCCTCATTAGGCTGCGGTCATCCCTGCTGCTTGTGCACCTTTTTCTTCCACACTTTTCCCTTCCACATAACTTTCTTTTAATGTGCTTTGATACAGCACTTTGGGAACATCCAACTTCTTTTGCAATTACCTTTTGAGGCTTTCCCTCCTTATGGAGGGTGTCAATGATGGTTTTCTGCACAATTGTCAGGTCAGCAGTCTTTCCCATGGTTGCGATTCCTACTGAACCAGACTGAGAGACCATTTAAAGGCTCAGGAACCCATTGCAGGTGTTATGGCTTAATTAGCTGATTAGAGTGGGACACTTTGAGCCTAGAATATTGCACCTTTTCACAATATTCTAATTTTCTGAGATTGTGGATTTGGGGTCTTCATGAGCTGTAAGCTATAATCATCACAATTATGACAAATCACAGCATGAACTATCTTGCTTTGCATGTAATGAGTCTATCTCATATTAGTTTCACCTTTTAAGTTGCATTACTGAAATAAATGAACTTTTGCACAATATTCTAATTTTTCGAGTTTCACCTGTATATACCCTTGGTACTTGTTCATATCAGATGCAGTTTGGCTGTGCTAGCAATGAATAGACCAGGCAAAATTCTTGCTTTCTGTGCTGTGTGCTAAGAAAAAGTATTCCACTCACACCTTTAGTTAAAGTGCAGTGGGTAAAGCAAACTACTGCATTGAAATGTCACCATGGGAAACAGAACTATGTAGAAAAAAAAAAAAAAAAGTACACGGCACATCAGCACATACAGCACGCACCAGCAGCCATACATTCAATGTGGTTCGCTGGTGTGACCAGGTCCCCAAAACCATTATTTTCTTTTTTTTTTTTTTTTTTTTGCATTTATTTTTTCAACCTTTAATATTTGAACTGTTTTCACATTTGTGTTTTGTTAGTTAACTCTGCCATAAATATCTTTGCATCGCTTTGCACCAGAATAACAATGTTAGTGTCATTCTAAACAGGACAAATTAAAGGATAATAATTTTTTAAAAAATAATGAATAATAAAGTGTGTGTTATTTTTTTCTTTGGATTGCATAAAAAATAAAATAAGTTTTAGAAGACATTATTACCAAAAGGAAGCCTTGCTTGTTCTAAAAAAAAGATACATGTATTACTGTGATGTCCTAAGTAATGACAAGGTTACTGACGAATAGACAGGCCATAGCAAAAACTTAAAAATTGCTCAGGTCTATAGGGGGTGTACAGGTGTCACAACTAAACTGGTTATGCATAGGTCTACTTTAAATATACTAATATAGAAAGAAGAACATTTAGGAGGAGCCAAAAGTAATTAATGTTACATGCATCAAAATTCTCTCACCTTCTTGAGGGATTCAACCTGGACAGAACAAAGCTCGCTCAAGCATTCTGAGATCTTGTCCAGAGGTAGACGTGCAAGGACCAGTGCAGTGCCTGATGTGGGGGGAAAATAGGTCCGTGAAACACATCAACAGGGCTGTATAAATCCCAGGTTCTATGTAAAGGTGGGCTACTTATTTATCATTTGGCTCTGTGCCTTGCAAAAACTACACTCAAACTAGGCTCAAATTTTAGAGGCTGCATCTTGAATTCTACTTTTTTCCTTACCTGTGTGCATTATCTCTTTTTGCAGCAACGTGTTTTTACATTTTTACAAGCTTTAATATTCACCTTAATAGAAGAATAATATAAGATCTTATTTGCCTGAGGATGCCTTACTCTAACAAACCCTATGGAATCACTTTCAAACTATTCTATTTTCTAAAAGACTTTGTAGGTGTTTCAGGCCTGCAAGTATAGTCAGGATTCAAAATCCTCAAAATCACTTGTTCCTCCTTTTAAAATTATTGTAACTCTCCCCCCTTTTTTTGCATTAAAATAACAAACATGTTATACTCACCTGCTCTGTGCAATGGTTTTGCACAGTGCAGCCTCGATCCTCCTCTTCTCAGGGCCCCCACCAGCGCTCCTGTCTTCTCCCCCTTTCAAGTGCCCACCATAGGAAGCAGCTCCCTATGTGGGCACAAGTGCTGGCTCATTCCCAAGTCAGGCTGTTTGCATCTATTCAGACACACAGCCCAGCTTGGCGCAACCCCCCCGATAACACATTTTGAGTGACAGTAGCAGGAGCCAACAGCTTCCGCTGCTCTCAACCAAGCCTGTAACAGCGGGGAGATGGGAGAAGAGCTGCTGCAGACGTACACAGCGCTGGACAGAGATCAGGCTTCGGAGAGTATTTAGGGGGGGCTGCACCAAAAAGGCTTTTTACTTTAATACAGAGAATGCATTAAAGTGGTTGTAAATATCAGTCATGAAATCTGAACAAATCATATATATCTGTAGTGTTTACTTGTCTATCTCCAATGCTATGTCCTTTATCTCTCTTCTGTTATCAGAGTGAGTCACTTCTGACAAAGTTTTCCTGACAGGAGACAAAATTGTGATGGCTCAGCACACAGCTTTTCTGTTTACAACACAGCTCTGCCATTTGTGATGGGGTGTGTCCCTTTCTTCCAACCATCTCTGTTCTGTAACTGCAGCTTTCCACCCCCTACTCTGTGATACTGACAGACCAAAAAGGATTTTATCACAATTAAGGTAAAAACAAAAAACCTTTTACATTTACAACCACTTTAAAAATGTGCAAGACATTAGGAGTGTATGACTTTCAATGAAAGCACTCTTGCATACCCTTTTATAGAGGTTTACTCAACCCAACTCTCTGGCCTGCTTATGAAACTTAGAATTGTGGCTTGCAAAGCCTCTTGGAGAACTAGAACAGCTATAACATGCCATGGTTGGATCATCATGGCAATAAAGTTTACACTGCTACAAAAACTGTTCTACCTCTCCCACCCTGCTAATACAAGTCCCTTTCAAAATGTTAAAGGCTCCACAGAAGCAAATTTAAATTATATATAGGGAAATCTTGGGCCTTAATTAACTAAGATCATCCTTCTTGCCATTGACCGGGGGTCCTAATTCTAACAAACGTCCTTACAATATGGCAGATGTAAACTGCTTCTGTGGAATAGGCATTGAAGTATCAGAATATTCCTGACTGCCCTTACATTCTTTTAACTTAATTCTTTAAAAATGCAGCAGTAAAGAAAGAGTAAGTAAGCTTAACATGTCCACCTTTGCCACATAACAGGAAGGTTCATCGTGGTGTTTTCTATATACAAAGTTATCTTTGCTGTGCTCACTGTCAGATACGCACTGTTGGATATTGACGATTCCATGCTATTTTAATGTAAATAATACTAAGGCTCAAACCTTTTAGAAGTCCTACAGAAGCCTCTGGTGGCAATGAGAAGGAGTCCAAAGACCGAGCGATTTCCAGAAGCCCATTAAAGTGCTGCGCCATGTGGTCCCGGCAGACGCAACAAATGTTCTGAATGGCTTTGGCAGAAGGCGTAGCCAAGGATGGCTGGCACAAGCCCTTCATTAGGTAGGATAACACAGGATCTAATGATATCAGTGATAAAGATAGGACACAATTTTAGCAGGGGGGAAAAAAAAAAGGCTCTTCACACATGTGATTGAAGGAGGATATATGTGGACACCAGTGCAGATTCTTTTGCACCCCTCCCCCCCCCCCACAAAAAAAAAGGAACAGAAAAGAAGACTGGCTGCCAAAAGTGACCAACTGCTGTCCTGCACAAGAAACGTTCACACAGGTTTCCCAGTACATTCCTTTTACTGCAGTTTTGTCATTTTGGAATAGTGAAATGCTAGATATCAACAAGCAATTTCTCTAGCTTCAGGTTCCAAAATGTGGTACAGACCTCAGAAGATGATGTTGTACAAATTATACCTAGCTCACACAGGTGAGGAAATGCCACCAGCACACCAAGGATTCCTTAAAATGGGTCCATGACTTTATTTTCGTGGCAACATTTTGGGGCCATGCAGGGCCCCTTCGTCAGACAAATGACAAAGTGCAGTGCAACATAAATGGAAAAGTAAGACGAAAAAAAGAAAAAGAAATTCAATAAAAACGTGCAAAATAAAAGAAAAAAATGAAATGAAGAAAAAATAAAGGGAAAAAGGGAAAAATAAAAATGAAAGATTTAAAAATCTTCTCTTTACGTTCTATTTTTTTGTTCTCTCAATTTCACCATTTTTTTTTTTATTTTGGTTTTTCCACATTTTTTTTTTCATTTAGCTATTATACTAGTTCTTTTTGGCTTCTTTCATTTAATTCTTTTCTCTTTGCATTCTTTATTTTCTGTTTATCTTTTTTTTACATTTTTATCCATTTTATGTCTTTAATATAGTTTTTGTTCTTTTCCTTGCTTTGATTTTTTAGTCTTCATTTTTTAATTTTTATGTATTTTTCCCTGTTATCTTAATTTTTTGTTTACTTTTATATTGCACATTTTTATTGGATTTCTTTTTTTTTTTCTTGCTTTTTCATTTAGGTTTACTTCACCCTTTTCACCCCATTTTTTTCTTCACCCTTTTTTCTTGGTTTGTTTCCTTTTTCTGTTTCTTCATTTCCTTTTCCCTTTTTTTTCCCTGCATTCCTTTTCCTCTGACTTTGCTTCCTCTCTTTTCTTTTATTCTCGCTTCTCGGTCTCTTCACAATCTTTCACAAGCTCCTGTTCACTCTGACCTCCCCATGCTTGAGTCCTGCTGCTTGCTCGTCTGGCAGCCGCTTTGGCATGTAGTGTTGCCATAGCACTGTCGGGCAGCCCGCCAGAGAGTGTTACTTCCACTGAGCATGTGCTCCAGCATGCACATCACTGAAGACCAAATAAAACACCTCCATGCTGCTAGGCAACTTAGGTAAATGATTCCCTGGGACTGTTTGGCCCACTGTTTATTACAGATGACAAGCTTCATTGATAATCAAAGATGTATTTTAATTTTACACAGTGACCAGTGCCTTTTTTCACTTGTAAAATGCCTGAAGGAGGGTTTGATTGCTATTACTATGCTGATTGCCACTGTGGGTCTGGCAGTTATGTAATTTGTTTAAACTGAGTGTAATGGTGGGATTATGACATCATGGGGCAGGACTGGGCCTTAATTGTCTTCACTAATTGGTGGATTGTCTGTTAAATAGGTGTGGACTTGCACTGCATTTTGTCACTTGCCTGACGAAGTGGCGCTGCAAAGCTCCAAAACACTGCCTTGTGTTTACTATGTGACCACAAAAATAGAGCTTTGGACCCATTTTGGGGAATCCCTGATGTGCTGGTGACATTTCTTCACCTAGATTTTCTACGGTTCCTAGCCTGTGGTCATTGCAGCACCCAGCAATACCTAAATCACACAGTGGTACATAAGCATACACCTATGTGAAGGGCCGTGTTTGTCTGCACAGGTGTTCCAGTCATGTCAAAAGGGATACAGCAGCTGCATGGCTACAGTCAATGCTCGCAATTTTTCATCCATGTGAGTGTAGGCACATGTCCCCGAATACAGACAGTGTGGGTTCAGGGACACACATCCATACACACCAACACGGATATCAAATTGGGAGCAGCTACTCTGTACCATCTGATATGAACAGGACTGGCTGCATGCAGATGCATGGAACACCAATGTGGGGAAACACGGACCTTTGCTTAAATTTGCTTAGATTCATATGAACAAGGCCTAATCACAGCTACAGCAAAGCTAAAAAGCCTAACATGTTTCATAGTCAGGATGCGATTATTAGTTAGGGTGCCCACCCTCTGTCACACATGCCCAAAAGGTTGCCATGAGTTGACAAAACCTTTAGGCTGTTGACAAGGCTTTCACGCATGTGAGCTGCTGAACACAGTATATAGAAAATAACACTCACTGATCAGAAAAAAAAAAATCAGTAGCCATTATACATTTATCTGCCATGATTGCAATCATGAGACCGATTTTTACAATCTGGTTCGCAGCTACTTATTTGGAGGACTTTAAACAAAAAAAACAACAACAAAAAAAAAAGTTACAAAAAATGAAATGCATGCTAGATAGAATATGACACAGTGCTTTCCTCAGTGTGTTATTCTATTCAAACAAAAAAAATGCCATCTAAAAACCAAAGCTTACCATTAAGAACTTACCGAGAAACTGAGGGTTTCGGTCAATCACCTCGCTCATCTCCCCTACCAGCTCTATGCTAGTGTAGCGCACAGCAATGTGAACAGACTCAGGAAGTCGGACTACTGCATCTAGGACTTCTAGCAAAGTTGGATTGTTCTCTCTGCAAATAAAAAGTTTGAGAGATTAACAAAAACGTTCATGCAAACCGTAAAAGGTATTGATATATTCTGAATTCTTGATATTGTTCTGATGAAACCAGGATAGCAGTGTAGACACAGGAAATTGCAAGGTTTCAAAACTGATTAGAAATTAAATCTATCCTCCTCAGAATTTAAACAAACAGTAGGTGTGTACATCAGACCTACAAAAAAGTGCATACTACTAAAATGGTTTTACTGCACTTATCTTTTCATCCAACCTCTAAATTATTGCATTAAAGTGGTGGTAAACCATTACCCTAATTGAATTAGTTGCAGTTTGACAAATACAAAGTGCAGCACTAGCTGGGCTACTAGAATAATAGCCCAGCTGATGGAGGAGGAGGGACATGATTATTTTTTTTTTTTTTTTTTTTTTTTTTTTTTTAAAGGGACAGCTCCTCCAAATAAGAGACAGTTGAGATACATTACTTTGTAGCAAGTCACCAGATGAGAGGCAGCTGTAGATATGTGTCAGACATTTGTGGATGCAACCAAGAACTACAAGGCAACAGAATTTACATGACTGAGTCACCTCTGAGCAAGCATCTCAGTCCAGGAAGAAATACCTGACCCTAGATAATGCCTGAATAATGGTGGCTTTGTCGCTCTGGGGACAACATCAGATGAAGGCATTGCCAGAGAGGTAATAAAATGTAAATGTTACCTTTACACATGATCTTGCATAAACTAAAAAAGTCTAATGCTAGACATTGAAGGAACATCTTAACTGTAGGTACAGTAAAGATGCTTAAGACTGAGAGAACAAGGTCTGCAATTTCTTTGTGAACTCTTTCCACCCAGTAGTTTGGCAATGATTCTTGAAGGGGTAAACATTTTTCCTGGATTGACTCGATTTGTTTATGAACAAGAAATGTGTTTTTAGGCTTGGCAGGTCTCTTAATACTCAAAGGGGCAAGGCGAGACAGAGGAGAATCAAGGGAAACAATGCGGAGGGGCTTTTGTGCACAGCAGCAGTGAGCATATCAACCATGTTTCATAAAAACCATATCATCATTTGTATAGGAGCCAGAGGGTGAGAAATCTTCTGTGGCCTCTTTTAACACCACCTATGGGTCCTCTTCTTCTTATGACTAAGGTCCATTGAGACCAAAATGCTTCAAAATTTTTTTCCTGGATTTTTTACCTCTGTACTGTATTTACTGAATAAGACAAAGGACTACTGCAGTTCGTCGTGTTGCCGGCTCTTTTGATCGTTTTGTATGTGTTGGCTGGCAGGGGCCAAAAGCAGGGCACTGATATATGGTACATTACATAAGATTGTATTAAGAGTGTTGCAGTGCTGCCCACTTTTGTGTTGAACATTGGTCATCCACCTGAGACTAACCTCTGAGCAGTTGAATTTTAGCTCAAAGTTTGAAAAGTTTAACAATGAATAGGAGAAACATTTTTCAAACACATTCCCAGTTTTCTGAATTTAATGTATAAACGCATACCTACTCAGGATAAACATGAACATTGTAAAGCAAATAATGGTTTTTTTATCTCCTACTTGCTGTGGAACAAAAGTAATGCTGAAAGGAACAAGGTGACCCCGTCTTGCCTATTCATTTTGCTAGTCCCTAAATAGGGTTCAGACTTCACCCGTCATGGTGTGCATACCTTCGAAGGAGTCTTTAGGGTCTGGGTTGCATAGGGATGAACCACAGCCATGGACCTGTATAGCCTCCTACGGCTAACTACATGAGTTACACCAAGTGTTGACGCAAACGTCCAAGCAGGATCCAACATTACAGGCCGTCAAGGTCAACGTAAGGCTGCCAAGGTTTTACGAAGGCTGCAGCTATATGGATGCACTGCTTCTATTGTTGTATTAGAGGACAGTGAAACACTGAAGAATCCAAAGGAAAATAATAAAATAGCTAATCCAAGAGTGATATCTTTGTAAGGGAGAAGAGGACCATCATCTTGGTACACTAACAAAAAACTGAAGACACACAGAGTGCGGTAGGGTTATAGATGTTCTCGAAACTTTGCCAATGTCTAAAAGTACGAGCCCAGGGTCTGTGAATATCAACACTGTGTCCTAGGGTTGATTAATGAGTTAGGGTTGATTAATGCAGAGATACTGGCTTGCCTCAGTTACCTTCTACAGTGAATCTGAGGGCTGAATCCTGAGGCACTCCAGTATGCAAATACTGAAAACTATGAAGTTAGCACTTGGCTCCACCCCCTCCCATGCCAATGTCTTCTAGTCTCATTGCAAAATGTAAATTATTACAGGTACTTATATAGCACCGTCAATTTACGCAGCACTTTATAATATATATAAATAAATTGCATATACACAGTTCGGTCCATATATATTTTAACACAGGCGCAATTTTATTTTTTTTGTCAGGTATTTACTACAGCATATTCAGGCTATAGTTATATAATGGATATGGGCTGAAAGTGCGCACTCTCAAGTTTAATGTGAGGGTATGTACATCCAAATTGGAAGAAGGGTTTAGGAATTACAGCTCTTAAGAGTAGCCATCCCCCCTTTTTCAAGGGACCAAAAGTGATTAGACAACTGAAACAAAAGCCGTTTCATGGCCAGGTGTGGGCTACTCCTTCCTTATTTCTTCGTCAATTAAGCAGGTAAAAGGTCTGGAGTTGATTCTAAGTGTGGTATTTGCATTTGGAATCTATTTATGTGAACCTACATCATGCTTTCAAAGGAGCTGTCCATGCAAGTGAAACAGGCCATTGTAAGGTTTCAAAAATGAAACAAATCCTTCAGAGAGATAGCAGCAACATTAGGAGTGGACAAAGCAACAATTTGGTACATTCTGAGGAAAGAAGAATGCACTAGTGAGCTCAGCAACATAAAAAGGCATGGACGTCCATGGAAGACCGCAGTGGTGGACACTCTCCATGAGATGGGCGTATCATTGTCAAAGTCTACAATCAAGAGAAGACTTCACGAGAACAAATACAGAGGGTTCACCACAAGGTGCAAACCATTCATAAGCCTGAAGAATAGAACAGCCAGATTAGACTTTGTCAAAAAACATCTAAAAAAAAGCCAGACCAGAATGAATTCTGCAGTGTTTAGAGATATGTCGCCAGCCCAGATTCAGCCAAATGCAGCAAAGTTGATTGGACAGGGCTTCACACTACAGATGGACAATGATCCAAAACACACTGCAAAAGCAACCCAGGAGCTTTTGAAGGAAAAGAAATGGTATATTCTGCAATGGCCGAGACAATCGCCTCATCTCAACCTAATTGTGCATACATTTAATTTGCTGAAGGAAAAACTAAAGGCAGAAAGACGCACAAAGAACAACTGAAAACAGCTGCAGTTAGAGCCTGGCAAAGCATAATAAAGGAGGAAACCCAGTCTTTGGTAATGTCCATGGGTTCCATACTTCAGGCAGTCATTGCCAGTGAAGGATTCTCAACAAAATATTAAAAATGAACAATTTGATTATATTCATTTATCCAATTACATTTGAGCCCCTGAAAATGGAGGGACTGTGTATAAAAATGGCTGCAGTTCCTAAAATTTGTACTTGATATCTATGTTCAACCCCTTGAAATAAAGCTGAAAGTCTGCACTTCAAATTCATTTGGACTGTTTCCTTTTAATTTATTCTCGAGGCATACAGAGCGAAAAATATGAAAATTGTGCCTGTGACCAAAAAAAGTGTGTGTGTGTGTGTGTGTGTGTGTGTGTGTGTGTGTGTGTGTGTGTGTGTGTGTGTGTGTGTGTGTGTGTGTGTGTGTGTGTGTGTGTGTGTGTGTGTGTGTGTGTGTGTGTGTGTGTGTGTGTGTGTAAAACATTTACGTCAGTCCCCTAACCCTCAAAATAACCAAGATCCTGAAGGCAGAAGGGGTGAGAACGAGTGTGAAATTTGCAGATAACAGTGTAAGGCTTTGGGGATCACATATCACACTAGAACAGAAAGAAGCTCTGCAGGCACTACTCCTATTCCAATCTCAATATACAGCATTTAGAGTAAAAACAAAATTCATTTTAAAATGATTATTTTGCTTCTCCTATGCCAAGAAAAATCCTTCTAATTCCCAACACCTACATAAGCACACCTCATTTAGCAACTTTTCATGATACATAGCACAGGTGACAGTTTGGCAACTTTTATAGGCAAGGAACTAATATTGTAAAGAATATTTTACCCTTAGATGTCAACTTGCACTACAGTAAACTTTCTAATGAAAACTTGCATAGTTAGCCCAATACAATTTAAGCCAAACTCCAGCAGAACAGCTAAATAAACATAATTGAATATAAATTCAGAACGGTCTTGTCTGTCAGAAGATTTGTAATGTAGGTCAACTAGTGCTAAGATATACACAGCAGAACACTGATGAGGTCATTACTTTGGAATCCTTCCAAAAGCTGAAGGAAGGAGTCATAAAAAAGGGGAGGAGTTTCAAATGAATGACCAACCTCCTAGGGGAGATTTCTATATCCAAAGCCAACTCCACACTTACTGATGAGGATATGTGTACTTTAACTACTTTATACCTACTGATGAGGATCTATATTCTTGTGTGCAAAAAAATACCTATGATTTTGAATAGAGTAGGGAATAGTTCAAATACCTGTCAGTTATTTTTTTGGCTATGTTCCATTGGGGAGATTTAGCTCTACTTCCTGTCCTGTAAACAGGAAGTGAAAGGAAATCACTCAAAAGTATGGGAAGCCCATTCTTAGACACTTATTACCACAAGACTTTTTTTCTATTCCCAGTCATAATTATAATCACAAGGTTAAACACAAAAGTTGACTTTCTCCCAGAGGATTTAGACATTGTTAAAAACAAAAATGCCTGACAGAGGTTCCTACCCTTCCCCCCACTATCCAAAGATTTTAAAAAATGAATGTGTGCATGCCAACAGAAAAGCAAAAACTAAAAATGAACATAAATAATTCAAAAGCACAACACAAAAAAGGCACACAAAAGCATTCCGTGTTATACCATGAAAGTATAAACCAAGCTAAAAGGGAATCTCTATTAGTACATACTTCATACATCTCAAAACAGCTTTTACACATTTAAAAACCTATAGCAAATAACAGACAGCAGCAGGTGGTTAAACTGTATACCTTTAAGAAAAAAAAAAGAAAAAAGTACAGCAATGCTTACGGATCTATACTTTTAGCTATGGAAGCCATTATAAATAGCACAGCCTCTGTGACTTCCCAGGGTGGATTTCCATCTTTCAGAGTAGAATACAGCTGCGTGGAAAAGAAAAGCTATATAAATGGAAAAAATCAGCATCATAATAATTAAGATCATCGCAGAACATTTATGATGCAAGATATTCTTTGTCTCTACATTCTTTTAGACAAATAACACTGTCATATTAAGTTGAAGAGGACAGAACCTAAGGAGGGTCATGTAAATGTAGTCAGCAAAGGTTACTAAAGGAGACAAGGCCGATGATTTTACAAAATGAACGTTAATAAATAATGTCAACCATGATTTGGTTTGAAAACTCAATCATGTGGTTTAAAGAAAACAAAACAAAAAAAAACAAACTATGCTGCTGCTAGGTGATACAGACTCCTCCTTGCAAGAGGCCATGACCACTGTTACTGAATTTGGCAAATTCTCAGGACTAACCATAAATTGATCAAACTCAGTACTAATGACACCAGATGGGGAAATTTCTTAGCCAGTAGCTTCAGCAGGCACTATCCCCACCATCACTTCTCTTAGCTATCTAGGGGTTCAGATCTCCCTGTGATTCGTGATTTCTGTCACTTGAACAATTTCCCTCTTATGCAGTTGTTCTATGACCGCATTAACATCTGGAACTCCCTATGCCTTGATAGCGGGGACGGTAAGTTTGATCAAGATTCTCATGCCACAGTTACTCTAATTCCTTCAGAATACCCCCATAGTAAATGCACTTAAGATTTTCAGAATAATTAATTTCCTTTTTGTGTACCCCAATTTAGAAGGACCATGTTTCTAAAAATAAATTAGAACATAGGCAACACCCCAAAGATCATGGTGGTTCAGCTTTGCCCAACCCCTGGTTATATTACCTGGCGGCCCAACTGCAGCACTTGCTTGGCACTCTGTGAACGACATGGGAACTGTGACAGGACTAAATGTAACTAGTCTTCTGAGGTGATGATCTACACCAGTGTTTAACCTTTTTTCAGTCAAGGCACCCTTAAACATTATGGACAGTCCCGAGGCACCCTTTAAAATTCTGAACAGTCTTGAGGCAAACCATTCTAAATGTGAAAAGTTTTAAATAACGCAGCAACATCCACACATTTAGGACACCTAATATTAGAGGTGATTTATTCTTCTAAAGCAAATACACTTTTGCACACTGGTACTGACTAGCATTGCATTGTTTCTCTTCTCCTTCAGTTTTTCTCCATCACTGACCTAATGTGACCCCAGCACTGATCGAGAGGGGCGGGGGAGGGTAAAACTAGGATGCTGTGTAAGCAGCTGACATCCTCCTTATCAATTGATGATGTCATTGGTTGTCAGGATGCCAGCAGTTAGAAGTTCATAATGGTGCACAATGAAAACCTGTGGCTTTGTGTAACTAAAAGGCAGGCTTGTATACAAATTTTGGGAAATTTTTAGATATTTTGTCATGGCACCCCTGAAGAAACCTCAAGGCACCCTGGTTGAGAAAGGCTGATCTACACTATCCACAGGGACTCTATCCCATTTCTACGGGGTCTCTATATCATTTGCTGATCTTCAGAAGAAATTTAACTAACCATCCTCTATGTATCGTTACTATATGCAGCTACATCATGCCATTAAGGATCAGAGTAACATCTCTGATTAGGTCCTGTCCCCTATCCCCATTTGAAACCTAATTATGGATGCCGAGCCCTTCTGGGGCTTTATATCACAATGCTATGCCATGCTTTTATAGTCTTTCCTTAAACTGCACCACTTAAGGGTGATGAAGTGGGAGCAAAATGTAGGTCAGTTGATGAAGAACCACTGTGAAGAGGTCTTCCAATCAGTAGTAACCTGCTCTTTAAATGTGACACAGAGGCTGAAACAATTGTACATTCTTTTGTGTGTATACTCCTCACAGATTATATAACATGAGTCTATTACCAGCTCCCCTTTGTACAGGATGCAAACAGGACTATGAACACCTGATTCATCTACTATTGATATGTCCAAAATTGCACCCATATTGGAAAGGGGTGATAGACACACTGAACTCAGTATTTCAGATATCACTCCCCTTAGATCCAAAATGCTATATAACGCTAGATGAACTAGATCTGGAGGAATTTACAAGAGGCAATACTAAGGGCCCCGTTTCAAGCTTGCAATTAGTACTTGTACACTGGAAGTTGGAGGATCCCTCCACAATATGGGAATGGATTAATAATGCAGGCAGTAAATAAAGTTTGGATAGAGGTGTATAACAGCACAGAGGATGCTTGAATAAGTATGAAAAAATGATGGGCACCATGGTTAAAGGTTTCTGGTTTGGCACCAGTAGATTTAATTATGGACAGGTTGTTAAGAAGTCACAATGGGTAAAGACGTACTCTAGGCCTCTACTAGATAACAGATTTGGTTACATTTACTGTGAACTGATTTTGACAGTGCCGATATATCATTTCTATGCATTACTTGATTATATTTGTGTTGCCCTGCTTCAACTCAAACAACCAGAATTTTTGCCATCACATGATTGGGAACTGAAAATGAACTGCAGGTTTCAGTGAACTTTAAACAGTTTGTTTGGACCAAGCTGGTCCAAACAATTTACTTCACTAACAGATGTAGCAGCTATCAGCACTGTATAAACTGTATGTAGCCTCAGCTACATACAATATACAGTACTGTGATCCTGCAGAAGGACAGGATCTTCCTGTCTCATTCCTGGAACAAAACCGAATTGGGCTGAACGCTGCTCAGCTTTTCAGAGGGAGCTTTGTATTATATGAATGAATACAAAGCTTCCTTTGATTGGCTGAGGTAGAAATGTCACCTGCCTACTTCTACTCTTCAGCCAATCAGAGGAAGCTTTGTGTTCATTCATAAAATAAAAAGCTCCCTCTCAGTGGCTGAGCAGTGTTCAGCCCAATTAAATGTTTTTCCCAGGAGCAGGACAGGAAGTTCTAGTCTTGATGCAGGAACATAGCACTGTATACTGCATTTAGCTGATGCTACATAATGCTTATACAGCACTGAAAGCTGCTGCATCTGTTAGTGAATCGAATAGTTCTTTTGAACCAGCTTGGTTGAAAGGAACTATTTAAAGTTCACTGAAATATGAAGTTCTGCTTTAAGCAAACATAATCGGCTCCTTTATTAAAGACACTGCTCAAAAAAATTAAAAGAACACTCTGAAAACACATCAGATTTCAATGGGGAAAAATATCATGCTGGATATCTATACTGATATGAACCGGGTAATGTGTTAAGAACGTAAGGATGCCCCATCGTTTGATGGAAATTAAATTTATCAACCTGAAAAAGGACTGGACTCAAAGACACCCCGAAAATCAAAGTTAAAAAACGATGCAGCAGGCTAGTTCATTTGGCTGAAATTTAATTGAAGCAACTCAAAATGTTACTGAGTAGTTTCTATCGCCTCCACGTGCTTGTATGCATGCCTGACAACATCGGGGCATGCTCCTAATGAGACGACGGATGGTGCCCTGGGGTATTTCCTCCCAGATCTGGACCAGGGCATCACTGAGCTCCTGGACAGTCTGAGGTGCAACCTGGCAGCAATGGATGGACCGAAACATGATATCCCAGAGGTGTTCTATTGGATTTAGGTCAGGTGAGCATGGGGGCCATTCAATGGTATCAATTCCTCCATCCTCCAGAAACTCTCTGCATACTATTGCCACATGAGCCTGGGCACTGTTATGCACCAGGAGGCACCCAGGACCCACTGCACCAGCGTAGGGTCTGACAATAGGTCCAAGGAATTCATCCTGATACCTAATGGCAGTCAGGGTGCCATTGTTTAGCCTGCAGAGGTCTGTGCATCCCTCCATGGATATGCCTCCCCAAAATATCACTGACCCACCACCAAAACAGTCATGCTGAACGATGTTACAGGCAGCATAACGTTCTCCACGGCTTCTCCAGACCCTTTCACTTCTGTAACGTGTTCAGGATGAACCTGTTCTCATCTGTGAAAAGCACAAGGCGCCAGTGACGGACCTGCCAATTCTGGTGTTCAATGGCAAATGCCAATTGAGCTCTATGGTGCCAGGCAGTGAGCACAGGGCCCTCTAGAGGACGTTAAGCCCTCAGGACACCCTCATGAAGTCTGTTTCTGATTTTTTGGTCAGAGACATTCAGACCAGTGGCCTTCTGGAGGTCATTTTGCAGGGCTCTGGCAGTGCTCATCCAGTTCCTCCTTGCAAAGAGGAGCAGATACCGGTCCTGCTGATGTGTTAAGGACCTTCTACGGCCCTGTCCAGTTCTCTTAGAGTAACTGCCTGTCTCCTGGAATCTCCTCCATGCTCTTGAGACTGTGCTGGGGAGACACAGCAAACCTTCTGGCAATGGCACGCATTGATGTTGTTGGACTGCCTGTGTAACCTCTGTAGGGTCCAGGTAATGCCTCATGCTACCAGTAGTGACACTGAACCTGGCCATATGCAAAACTAGTGAAAAACAGTCAGAAAAGATGAGCAGGAAAAACAATTTAATTGGCCTCTAAAACCATTCCTGTTTTGGGGGTCGTGTCGTTGCCTATCTAGAGTACCTGTTGTTAATTTTACTTACACCAAAGCAGCTGAAACTGATTAACAACCCCCTCTACTACTTAACTGACCAGATCAATATCCCAGAAGTTTAACTGACTTGATGCTATACTCTGATTAAAAAGTGTTCCTTTAATTTTTTTGAGCTGTGTACATCCAAATAGGTCAGTTTAAACAGGCAGTTCCTACCCACAGCAATCAAGTTAACCATTCATGGTCCACCACAGGGATATACACAGCAGTGTTATAATTATAGTTAAAGGATAATTAACATACCTGAGAGAAACATTCTATGGAGCCCACCAGAAAGATCAAGTCCTTTACCAAGTCTGAAACTCGCATGCGGAACTCTCCAAAGTCATCTGTTTCTTCAGGAACCCCTTCCTGTAGGAAAATAGTTGATAAAAATATAAATTGTATACACACACACACACATTTTTTTTCCCAACAAGATCAAATTCTTTTATCAACTTTTAATAACTAGAAATTTAAAAAGGAGAAATGGCAAATCAAATACTTAACTAGGACTACTTTGAAGCTGAACTCAAGTCAGATTAAAAAAAAACAAAACATGGGGCTACGTGGCGTCATCACGCTGGAAGTCTGAGGTCGACCATTTTACTTGTGTTTTCCGATGGAGGTTTATCCTTAAGGGGGTAATGTTATAATGGTTGTTAAATAGGCGATTTTTCTCCACTGACTTTGTGAGAAGTTTTTTAAATTTTTTGGGCTAATAAAGCATTACATCTTGTTAATACTACACTATGAGAGGCTATTTGTGCTCTTTTTTTCTATTGAATTGGCATTTTTCTGTTCAAGTTTATAATTCATTTGTAATCTACCTTCCTGATACAGTGCAGAGTGCTCTCCAGGCTGTTGGGAAAGTGACCTTACCCGAGTGTGGGTCAAGGCTTGAGGTAAGCAGTAGAAATGAGAGGTGATGGCATGCAGTGGTGTAGCACACAGGCATTTATACTGAAGCACGCATGATATACATGCATGTGGAAATACATATGAAGCACATTAAAGCGAAGTACCAGTTGAAAAACAAAAATAAAAGTCAGCAGCTACAAAAACTGTAGCTGCCAACTTTTAAAATACAGCCACTTACCTGTCCCTCGGTCCAGAGGTGTCCTCACCACCGCTGGTTTCACTGGCCGTCTTCTCTCCCTGGCATCTTTAGTGTGGGCACCCGGCTGTGACATCTTGCAACTTCACAGCCAGGTGTCCATTGCGCATGAAGCGCTGCGCTTTGTGAATGGCCCTGTAGTCTTCTGGAACCTGTCACGTGTCCATGAAGACTATGCGGAGGGAGAGGTCAACTTACGCCTCCGATTGCCTAGGCGATCGCAGCGGAAGTGGGAGCGGGTACCTGTCAAACTCGGGGACCTGCTCCACCCCTGCTCTCCAAAGGTGCCAATACTTAATGGTGAGCAGGGGACAAAAGCATTAAAGCGGAACTTCCCCTTTTGAGTGGAACTCCACTTTAAGGAGATTTGCTGCAAGATTGGGACAGTATTTATGGACTTTTATGTTCACATCTGTGGAGTGGTTCAGGATTTTATTTATTACATCACTGTTATCCAATTGGTAATATTTATTGCACTTTTTGCACACTTTTTTTGCATTTTGCACATGCACGTTTAGTTTTATGGTTTGGTTGCGTAGCATTTTATGTGGGATATTATTGTGATATTGCCCTCTGTAAAGGTCTCCACTACACTGGCAGTTGGTAACATTTGGGGAGGTTTTTCCCACACAGCATTGCTGCTTGGGCGGTTTAAAAATTACCTCTATGACTTCCGGATGACGCAGTTTTGTCCACCATCTTCGCTAAGAGAGCAAGTAGTACATCTGCTTGTCTCTGGGCTGTTTGTGGTTTGAGAGAGACAACCAAAAGGACATTGGTCAGCGTCTGGGTTATCGTGGCTCTTTTCCCAGACATGCTAATACTCTATAATTACGCATCAATTTCAGGCGTAATGCGGCAGATTATTAGCACTTTTACTTTTAAATATTCTGCTGGTAGATTGATAGATGCTTGGAAACCCTATTAATGGCAACCATTGCTCTCGCTGGTCTTGTCTTACAACCAGCCATATGTCAGCCTATCTTTGAGGGCCCTGTTCTTAGGAAACAATTGCAGATAGGGTCTTTTACAGTGCTGTTTTATGTTGTTTCTGCCAGAGAATGTACAGGCCTCTAGGATGTCAATACTGAACAGCTTGTAACAGGCATCTTTTATGCATGCCTTTCGATGGTGAACGCCTCTTTGGTGAATTCCTTTATACATTTACTGACAAAGTTAATGGGAGAGAAAGTACTTTTACCAATGCCTAAAGCCTGCTAAACACTAGTAGAATTAAAAAAAAAAAAGTATGCTTTTTTTTTTTTTTTTTTTTTTTTTTTTTAAGGAGCAGAGTGGAAAGTTTTCCTCCTGAACGAACAAATTCCTAACTGTGAATGTGGATTTCATTTGGGAAATTACATTCTTTCCAAAAGCAAAGCGAATTGTTGAAGTAGTTTTCGTACAACAATCATCCAGTCATCGAATTTTCAAATAATTTTCATACAAATATCGGTACAAACATTCATTAGAAAATCTTCTAGTGTACAGCCAGCTGAAAACAGTTTTAAACTCCACTTTTTATCTTGTACCTACAGACGAACCTATTATAAGGCTTACCTGTAGGTACAGTAAATATCTCCTAAACAGAGAGCATATGTAGCAGCTGGTGAGGTCACTGACGAATGCGTACAGCACTCTCAATGGACGGCATACTCTAGTACAAGGGTCCTCAAACTACGGCCTGCCAAAGTCATTTACCTGAACCGCCAGTCATTCAGAGACAAAACGAGGAGCAGGTGTGTATCTGCCGCCCCCCCTTAAGGCAGAAGGGAACAGTGTAGTCACTAAAAGGGGTCAATTGTCCCCTGCCGGAGGTGGACAGTATCGGGATTGGGTGGGCTTGGCTCGGGCGGAGGAGCGGTCCCAGCTGTGGTCTGGAAGGGGGCAGGCTCATCTGTGCTTGGGCGGGGGGGGGGGGGGCGGGCTCAGCTGTGCTGGGGTGGGCTCAGCTGCGCTCAGGCCAAGGGGGCGGGCTCAGCTGCGCTCAGGCCAAGGGGCGGGCTTGGCTTGGCTGGAGGGGCGGGTGCACAGTGAAATCAGAGGTTTTCCCATATATTTCACAAACCTGGCTCACAAACCAAACTGACAGAGGTAACTTTTTTTTTAGCTCCTTCATTATGTCCGCAGTACACTCACCGTCTCCTCTCCGCAGTCTCTGAACATCTCCTGTATCCTCTATGCAGTCTCTGACGTCTCCTGTATCCTGTCTGCAGTTTCTGACTGTCTCCTATATCCTGTCTGCAGTTTTTGACTGTCTCCTCCTGTCTGCAGTTTCTGACTGTCTCTGCAGTCTGCAGTTTCTGACTGTCTCCTGCAACCTGTCTGCAGTTTCTGACCTTCTCCTGTATCCTGTCCACGGTATACTGACCGTTATGTTGGTTGGACGAGCCAAATGTTTCACAAAAGCACTCTGATACTTATGTTTCATTCTGAAACATCATGCTTTATCTTATTTAAACAATGTTGATTAAAATTGTTCTTCATTTGAAATATTGTATTTTTTTCCCTGTTTTTTTCCCACTACAAAGAGATATGTGTGTGTGCATAGGAAATCGTTCTTATTTTTTTTCAAACTATTACAATACTCTGGCTTGCTGATTTCTTGCTTATGCCATCCAGTACTGGTCACCAGTCCTGAAAAAGGATGTACTGCAACTGGAGAGCCCAGAGAAGGGCAACAAAGCTAATAAGGGGACTGCAGGACCTCAGTTACAAAGAACTAGAGGAGATATGATAGCAAGGAGGAAACAAAGGATATGTTCACCTTTACAAAAAAATAAAAAAGATAAATGCACTTCCTTTTTGCAGGGGAGGCAGTGCAGAGGCTGGTGCATCTATAATTTGTTGCATGTTACACACCTAATAAGGATAACATGTTAAAAAAGTCAACTTATCCTTTAAGAAGACAAAGCCACTCAATGAAATTGGAGAAGCGCTTCAACCATAAATGGCAAAAGGGGTTCTTTACTGTGAGAGCAGTAAAGATGTGCAACTCCCTCACACAATCAGAAGTGTCATCGAAAAGTGTCGATGGTTAAAAAAAAGAAAGGAAAAAAAAGAAAGGAAAAAAAAAAATCTTAGATAGGATGTAAGAAAATCTACCTTTTGTGGAAACTACCATCAGACATAGAAAGCCTACTTTGGATGGTGCTAGAGAAGGCACCTCAACCCTTCAATCCGAAGAATATTCTGTTCCTCACATCAGGGCCTTCCTCCAGTCAAGTCTAGACCAGCAGCTGACTCTTGGTACATTAAAGGGTCAGGTCTTTGCCTTATCCATTTTATTCCAAAAACCTTGGGCTTCACTCTTGTCACTCGGTTTCTTTTTCCACCATTGCTAGGTGGCTAAGGCAACTCAATTCCAGGGCCAATGCCCTCAATGAACGGGTTCTCATTATGAAGGCCCATTTCACCATATCAGTCAGCATTTCTTGGGCCTTCAGCATCAAGCATCAATTTCACAAGCCACCACCTGGTTTTGTGCTCATACTTTTTCAAAGTTTTACCAGGTGGATCTTCAGGCCTCTGCTAATGTAAACGTTGGCCACTCGGTGCTTCAAGCTGGTATAGGTGTGTTTTGGTTATGTTGACCCTTGGTTTCTGTGGGCCTGTTGCTGCTGTTTTCTATGTTGTTTCAAACCCCTGAGTTTACTGCTGGGGGATGTCCCATAGTCTGTTAATTCCTGTCCTCTGTGCTGTACCGTATGATTAAGATAATGAGAGTTGTAACTTACTGGTAAAATTCCATATGTCTGAGTACTTTCTGCTTGCTACAAAACTGGAGTCCCGAAGAGTGGGTGGGGTTATACGAGGCTGGATATTCCCAGCAAAACTTCTGGCAGTGTCCAATTACCTGACGGTAGCAGCATATGCCCCATAGTCTATCACTAACTTTCCTGTGTCCTGTACTGTATTCTAAGATATGAAATTTACTACTGAGTCAAAGTTCCCATTTGTTTTGGCTGGATATCTAAAAACACAAAAGAACTACTCATAAAGGGAACCTTTAGTTTCAGTTTCTAAGGTCAGGGGAACATCAGTACAAAGTGCTAAGAGCATGCCCCCAATGCACTAGATAGGTGTGTTTCATTGTTAGGATCTCCAGCCAGCTTCAACATGCAAGAAAAACCTTAAAAAGGTATGAGACCAACCCTTTATACAGAATATCCAATGTAAAAACAGGATCTTTGTGAGTTGCACTGTTTTTGCCTTCCTTCAGGTTAACAGCTTAGTGTAAGGGTGTCATAATGGGGAGGGAATGCTAAACCAGAGAGAACTTGAGTTGCCCATGCTACCATAACTTTTCCAGGCAAATCAGAAAATGAAAAATTCAGGATAATGGCTATGGGCAACACGGACCTTACTTTTTCCAGACAATTCTAAGCAAATGGACCCTTTTTATTATGAATAAAGAAATGCTAGGACCATGAAACAACCTAAATTCTAGGTGCATCCTATATAATCTTTATTATTACAGCTTTGCATGAATTTCAATAAAAAGCAGATGAGTAATAACATGGCAGGCAACTTACATGGTCTGGATCAAGCTGACAGTGCCTAGCTAAGGCATGGAGAAGCCTTTGTATGTATGGTTTAAAGATACTATTCAGCACGGCATCGTTTATTTTATAAAGGTGCTCTCCAAGTCTGTACCAAAAGTTAAAGGAGATTTCAACAACCTGTTGAAAGAGCAGATAAAACGTTAATTCATTAAGGTAGTGGAACCATAAGAGTCAATATGCAGAAATGGACAAAGTGTTTGTTTTGATGTATAAAAGAAAAACAATTAGGGTCAATAAATTCACAAAATCAATGAAAGAAAAATGTAGGTTTGCTATGGATATTACATTACAAGTCACCATCCTGATATGGAATAGAATCGTGCACATGGGCTATTAATTCACATTTTCAGTTTCTGTGGTCTTCCTATGCTGGTCAACATGCATTAACAGTTAAGCCAATTAGAGTGATGAGGTGAAGTTTATCTACAAGAAAATTACTCTAAAAGGCAAAGTTCACTTTTGGAACATATTACATGTTCCAGCTTTATTTCACATGGAACATTTAACATGTTCCAGCTCCTGCCCTGTCCCCTTCTCTAACCCCCCTCCTGTCACTTTTTAAAAGCGGTGCAGCTGTGCTGTGCATAGCAGCTTCATTCATTCAAAGATTTCTGTTCATGAATAAACTACAAATACCATTTGCCATCGTGGGCTGTGGGGGCGCTGATGAGCACTCTAAGTCCACTGACATGTCCTTCAGCTTTCAAACAGAAAGCCCATACAGAAGTACAGGAGCACACACTGCACTTGTGATTCACGGGTGCAATGCTTTCCAGGCTACAGCAGGAAAAAATAAATGCAAAATTCTTTTTCTGCAAAAATATGTGCATTTATTACTTTTTCTGTAAAAGTGAACTTAGCCTTTAAAAACTCTCCACTTTTCAAGAGGACTCCTCGCCCTTGCAGTTCCAGTTTTCTCAGAACTGATTTCACCTGTTTTGTAACCTCCTAGTGTCACTACCAACCATAAAACATGGCAGTCATTCCATTTTTCTTGCCATACTTCAGGCCATCAAGCAAAAAGGGTAACAGAGAAGCTCTGGGAGGTTGGAACCTCTCTAAATGGCACAGGTATGAAGAGCTGTTCCAAGCTACTGTTGGCAGAGAATGATCATTCTTTTACGCAATTAATTTGATGGTGCTTTCTTGCAAGTTCTGAAAGGTGAACAACAGTTTGCAACACCCCAACTTCAGTACATTCATGAAGTGTTGCCGATCATTTCATATTAGCTGCAGTACATACAGCCCTGGCCAAAAGTTTTGAGAATAACACAAATATTACTTTTTCACAAAGTCTGCTGCCTCAGTGTTTTTAGATCTTTTTATCAGATGTCACTATGGTATACTAAAGTATAATTACAAGCATTTCATAAGTGTCAAAAGGCTTTTATTGACAATTACATTAAGTTTATGCAAAGAGTTAACACGTGCTAACTCAACTTATGGCAAGCGGCGAACAGGAAGCTGTATGAGGCAACTATAAAGTTATGAAAAAGTAAGTTGTTATGCAGCTTAACATAAGTGGTCATGTACTGCAATGTGCATTTTAAAGTTAAAGAGAAAAAAGCCAGCCTTTAGTACTACATTTAGTTCAGCATCTCTGAATGTTTGTTGTTATAGCATCAATAAATTGGTGGGTGTTGCAATTTTTTATGTCATACGGTATTTTCAAATGCAGTGTTTTTGGAAAAAATACATTTCTAATTTTAATGCAGAAAAAAACAATATAATGCCCAAATGCTTGGTAAAACATAAAACATGATGTTACACTGAGTAAATAGATGCCAAACTTGTCACGGTCTAAAATTGCGCACGCCCGTGTACCGGCGACCAGCGGCGTAAATTTTACTGTTCACAGGCAACGCTTTAAAAGCCTTTACAGGTGCTACTTTTGATTTACACAGGAGGTCTGGTGGTAAAATTATTGTCCATGATTTGCCGTTCAGATAATACCTCACATGTGTAAAACAATCGCTATTTGCACGTGTACGATTGCCTTTGCGCATGAGCAGGAAGGGGAGTTTTTATTATTATTTTTACACTGTTGGCTTAAATTTTAAATTTTTTTTAATCACCTTTATTTTGACGGAGGAATAAAAATATTCACTGTAATAGCAATAGGCAATGACAGGTACTCTTTATGGAGAGATCTGGGGTCTATTAGACCCCAGATGTCTCTTCTGCCCTTATAAGCATTTGATCACACCAAGGTCGGTTTGATCAGATGCTTTTCATTTTAAAAAAAATGGTGCTGGTTTCCATCCAGGGAAACTGGAAGTGGTGTATACTCATTACTTCCTGGTTTCCTATTTCATGGAGGCAATCACAGCTGTTCTGCATTGCCTCTATGATCGGCCAGGGGACTGGCTGGTCGCTCGGGTCTCCCGATGGAATGGGAGAGCCCAAGAAAGGCGCGAAAGGTAGCGGAAGGGGGGGGGCGTCCCCTACGGCTGCTTGTAAAAGCGATCTGGGACTAATTACGGCTAATTGCTTTTACAAGAAAGCCGACCCAGGACTCAAAAAAATGATAGAAGGATGATGCCTGCAGCTACTTGGCAGACAGGCTACAAAAGTTTACATTTATAAAGCAATGCTACTTTTTGGTTTAAATATGTTAAATATGAGGCAGTAGACAAGACTAAGGTTGGCCATACAATTTTCTTGTTCAATTTCCTTTATATTAGCCTTAAACTATGTAGTGGCCTGCCTGATTGCACACAAATTGAAAGTGTTTAGGTTTGACCTCCAATTATATGGTTTTGGTAAATCTAAAAGAAAATTTTACAAATTAATTGTATAATGCATGGCCTGCCTAAGCCTAAATATATAAATTCTGCGAAGATGAGAGTAATCAGATCACCTCATACTGTGGGTGGCCAGCACAGATTAGGAGAAGTTCCAATGTTCGGAGGTTTCCAAGATCATGCCCTGGAGCAGACACAATTTTCTCCAAAAAGGTTTCACACAGTTCTGTAAACATCCGACAGTAATTCAACACCCTGAAAAGATAAAAACAGAACAGTCTTGAATATATCTTGATTAGATGAAAAGCTCACTCTGGCAACACTTATCACCAAGGTTCCTGTCCTAAAACCCATCGCATGTAACTTACTGACTTACTATACTATATGAGGCATTCATTTGGGTGAGGTACTGGTATCCGGCGGAACGTAGGATTTCCATTATTAAGTGTTCTTGCATGGCAAGACCACTTACTGTTATCTCACATATATATTCTTATTATTATAGCCAAATTTACCACCCTAACTCCTCCCACAGTTTTTACACTACATAGACAGTAATATACTGAAACGTGCGGATTGTTCCCGATTGGTGCCCTATTACTTTGTGGAACGTTTCGCAGAATGGTTCACGAAATATCAGCGTTTCTGTGGTGAAATTGGTCCCATAGGAATGAATGGCGGAATGTTCAAAACTAGAGTGGGAGCTGACAAAAGCTAGAGTGTGAGCTGAACACAAGAACACTTCACACAATTTCCCCAGAAATTGTAGCTTTTCTAGTTACCTATTATCCATAATATGGAAGAATGAGTGGATATCCCTCTAGTGGCTAAATAAGATATTGTGAGGTCTGGATTTATGGAGAGATCTTATTAAATACATGCAAGCGTTACATGCGTTAGAGGTGACTGGTATCCGCTGAGATGGATGATTTTATTACCATCTTAAAAGTATCTATTATATCTGAGGAGGAATGGACTAAGGAGATATCGCAAGGTCTGGATGTGTGGAGATGTCATATTATTAACACGCAGTTTTTACAAGCGTTGGAGATGAGAGTTCTGTGAGCATGGAGCGGCACTGTTATTAGCATGAAAATTCACATTCACCACGCAAAACGCAGTCACTGTGTTGGATCATGTGATATTTGGAAACTTATGAAAGCACTTTAGTATCTTTATTCATATTATTCATTAATTTATAGTCAATGTTCTTGGTCATTTATTCACATTATGATTATGCACCTGTATTGTTTATTAGTACTGATTGATGTCCATTAGCAGCGCTACATCACCTTTCATTTACTTATATCATTGTAACATGTTAAATACATTTTCTATCCTAAATAAAACTTCCTGGTGCAAGTCTTGTGAAAAGTAATTTAATTTGACTCTTAAAGCAGATCTCCACCCAAAAGGGGCTGAGCTCCTACCATATAGGGATAGCCTTTCTATATGATTATAAAGAAACAATCTGATTCTCAAGACCAAGATAGATTGGTCACCATCAGAGGGGAATAAGTCCACATGGAAATACCCAAACCTGGACCATACGAGAGGCTGATCAACCAGAACGCACAAAAACAGGTCAACAACAAATTCTCATGCAGGGAAAAAAAAAGACCCACAACCCGATGTGATAAACAAGAAACAAGGTATAGTAAAATCCTTGTAGGGAGTAGGTACTGAGAAGGAACCCAAGATAAAACCAGTCTTGGCAAGCCGATCTAGAAAGAAAATCCCTAAGCCTTTACACCCCTGATGCCCTATAAAGAAGAGAAAAGACCTCCAAGTCTAAAGAGAATGTCTGTCCAACAACCAATGTCACTAAGCAAGACTTACCAAACTCGGAAAATCAACTAGAACACAATCTACAAAAGGGGTGAAGTGACTGCCTAGGTCACCAGAAAACTTCAAACTGCCTTCCCACGAAGTCAACATGACCGAAAAGATAGGGCACAAGGAAATCACCCCCAAAAGGGTAAAATGGAAATGGAAGTTGGAACTTAGCCCAAGATAGGAGCAACCAGCCCAACTTAAAAGGAAGATAATAAAATCCCTGGTACATAAAAGGTGCTTCTGGGGAAATACCATAAGGATCTTGCTGAAAAACAGGATCCTACCTATCCAGGGCCTTAAGTCTTATCTACCAGATCCAGTGAAGCATCAGCATCCATGGAGCAAGGAACAGGAATCCTAGTAGTACATAAAAAAACTTCATACTAGGCAAAAAGGCAAAGCAAAAACGAGGGAAAGCCCTTCCAAAGGCTATTAATCAGCCAATTAAAGAGGGCCTATCCCCAGGTTGATGGGTCTGAAGTGCACCTAGATGTGTGAAACTCTCCTCTATGTTCAAAGGCTACCAGATGACAAGAATAAGCTTCCAGGGGATTGCCCTTAAAGAAATCAGTGCAGAATTGCGCTATCATCCAGCACAGGAATCAGGCTACCTCTCCTGATGCTGAAAGGACTCCTATTCCTTCTAGGTGGTGAAACACAGTAGCATCTAGAGGGTGTCCAATAGAGTTTGAAACAGGAGATCTGTCTGAAAAAAAATTCCACAATTTAGAAGGAACCACCTGTTCTGGAAGACCAGAAAGCAGCCTTGGAGATGGTTCTCCCATGGAATAAATACCTCGGATATAGGGAGAGGAATTACTACTAGTCACTCGATACAGAGTCTGAGTACACCAGGGACTACCTGGTCCACAGAAGCAGATACGTTAGACTACTCAGGAACTAGGTCAGTAACAGCAGAGAAGGGGGCTGAAGTAGACCAAGAACAGATGGAGTAAAGGAGAAAGGACATCTCAGAATGTCACCCAATGCTACTGCAAGGGACGATAGAGGGGTAACTCACTGTTTGATGAGGAGAGAAAATAAATGTGCTGTAGGACAGGTGTCAGCAACCAGTAGATCTCGGCCAGGTGACTGGTAGATCACAGTCAGGGCTTGCTGACTCACCATCTCAGAGCATCAAACAGAGTGCAATGCAGAGGGACTACTTGTAAAGTTGGAGCTGTAGCAGGGAGCAAGAGCTGCATATGTTGATGTGTCCTCTGTAGTGCTGGCTCCTACGCCCTGTCATGGTTGGTGTGTGTAGCACCTGCCAAGCATGACCCAGTCAAGTGAATGAGGCCACTCACAAATGCAGCAGACACTACTGCTCCTCTGGAAAGCAGTCCGAGTGTGTTTGACAGGTGCTGAGGAGGCGATATTTTGCCTCTTCACCACCTGGTTTAAACCCATGATTGTCGTGCAAAGCATACAATTGTGACACGATAGTACTGCAATTAGGTTTAAATCAGGTGTGAGAAGGTGACCCTGGCTGACACTGTGCCTGCTGATCTTTGGCTTCTTCCATGTTGTTCAGGTAAATCTCCACCTCTTTAACGTTGTCTACCTCTGCTGTAGGCCTTTGCAGTGAGGAAGTACAATGGGTTACCGGCACCAACAGTTGACAGTTGCCAAAGCCAGATCAGGACAAATCTTGCAGGCATTAAGCCCTTCAGGTAGATGTTCTCAATCAAGATCCACAATGGCTATACCTCTCACAGGAGGTAATGTGACTGTCCTACAATGGGGATGTTAGAAATAGGTACTAGGCCAAACACAGGTATTAATGCTCTGAGAAATATTAGATGTGTATGAGTGACAATCCTATCCAGTTGGGGATTAGTCAAAGCGGATCCCAGATGACACAGCAGGTCAGAGAATCCCTCTGGAGTAGACCATTTAGGGGTACCAGGTGACCCTAGGGCAGGCAATCTGTCAAAGGAAGAGAATGGTGGCGCAAAAGGACCACTACTTCAGAGGCGGAAACCGACACAGAACTGGAGCAAGAGGTCTGAGTAAGAGGAAGGGGACCAGGAAAGGGGTATAAATCTGTGAAGTAGCAAAGGGAAGCAATGAAGGAACAGCTGAAGAGTGTACCAGAGGCAAGAGATTAGTCAGTCAGCCAATAGGGGGGCCGCTCCCTGCACCTTGTATTTACTTATAAAAGTGGAGGCACACTTCGTTGCATAAGTGTTTTCAGATAGCTCAGGCAGTTTCGAATTTTCAGCCATCTGTCAGTAAGGCTCTAAGAGCACCTATCACAGAGGATGACGACGCAAAAGGGTGGGGCGACCTCTCCTTGGACCTTTTACCTTGAGACAGACATGCACTATGTCCTGTGGAATTCCTGATGAGGATATCAAGTGTAGGTCCAAAAAGACATCATCTGAGGGCCAAACAAATCAGATGTTCTTCTCAGCAACTTAGCAAGAAAACTCTGCATATCAGTATGGACATCAGGCCCATGGGGGACACAAGTTTAGATGCTTCTTATATGCCATCACAACTGAGGCATAAGGCTCCAGGCATCTGTTTTACATGCTCTCTAACAAAAGGGGTCTCCTTGTAATGCAGAGATCTTTTTTGGGGAGAGTAACTCATTTTGCCACAGTTGGACTGATTATAGTCACAGCCCAACACAGGACAGAGTGACAGAACTTGCAAGAAAACAATGGGATTTAAAAAGGGATTCCAACTGGTAGTCAGTAGAATCCTTAGTGTTACTAAACCCAGGACCCTGCATTCACGCAAACTGTTCTCACACAGTACATGGAGATGCAATTATTTCAGTAAATATAAACTGCTAAATACCTTTTCTCATAAAAAAACACATCTATAATTAAAGTAAAAAAAAAAAAGGCAGAAAAATTGGACTAGACATTTTTAAGTAGAATGGAAGAAAATATATTCATGTTGCTAGGACATGAGTAAAAAAAAACTGCTGGGTAGAGGATGAGTTATCCTGGACTGGCCTACAATTTTGGATATACTGCAGGCATTAGTATAACTTGACAATATCTGAATTCTCAATGGATGAGAAAGAAAACCAAACTAATTACCTTGACTAAAGTAATTATTTTAAAAATGGTAAACTAGGCAATGTTTTAAATTTTAGACAGCATGAGGAAGGGTCTGAAACTGACACTCAATCTACTCTGTTTTATTGGCTCATTCTGTACGTAGCTTTTCTCAAAAAAGAAAAATTAAAAAGTAGATAGAAACAGAGTAGAAAAACTCAGGTCCAGGAAACTGATTAACATTTCTGGGTTGTATTGCACAGAAATAAAAACAAGAAACACAAGGAAACTCAAAACACACCTCTAAAGAAAACAAAGAACCTTGAAAGATGGAAAAAGTTTACGCTAGGGAATCTAAAGAGAATTTCTAGAAAGTGAAAATTGGCATTGGTGCTTAGTCCTTTT